GAGGAGGATTGGCGATAGGTGTTAGCTCAGGGCTAATCTTCCTCACACACACACACAAAAATAATAAGTTGGATGATATCTTGGCATTCTTACCATTTCTTTTCCTATGTTATACTTATTAAATTGTCCCCTTAAGCAAACAAAAACAAATTACAAAAACACGAGGTAGTGCCTAATTTAGAAACATACATCATAAAACTCCTATTTTTATTTAAAAAAACCCTTTTTCCTTTTTAAATTAATCTTTTAAAAATTCACCAGTGACGTACTTCATCATAATATGTTTTTTGCTCTTTTTCGCTCTCTCTGTATTGCATTGTTCTAAGATGCAGCATTGTGAGGTTGGAGATCACCATCGTGTTTTTTTTGGAAGATGGCTTTCCTCCATATAGCTGCCTCCTCTTGCTCTAGCTGTGACTTGTTATATTAATTTGCTATAGTAGTAGCCATGATATTAATCTACTTCCAGATTAGTTGAATGACACAAAAGATCTTTCATCTAACCATCTCCTCCCTCTTGTCTCTAGATTGATGGATTTAGTCGTTAAAGTCTCTCTTAATTGGAGTGGTGTGTAAGATAAGGATTGGTTGCTACAGGTATAGACTACTTGGAAAGACAAAAGAAACTTACTAGGTTTCTTTGAAAGTTCTGTTCATCTCACTTTAACTGTAATATGTATTATAACAGATGACACTAAGCAACATTTTAAGAGTCATAGAAAATAAGACCTTTTCACATTAGGGAAATGGCAAGAGGTTTAATCTTGAGTTTGTATTCAAACTCTGCCAATAACCGGTGCTACAAGTTGAAGCATGTTATTTAAGCTCTCTAAGCAAGCTTGGTTTCTTCATCTGTTAAATGGGGCTGATAATGCCTGTATAAGAGTTGTGAAGGTTAAATGTGACATATTATGTAATTGTCTTTACATAAAGTGTACTAGATTATAGTCCTTATTGTGGAACCCAAATCTAAAGAAACAGACAGAGAACATCGTTCCTTCAGTGAATAACAGCGGTGGTAAATTTGACATGTGCTTCTACGGGGAGCTCACTGGCATTTCAGCTGTTTATAATGTACTAATATGATTTATGAATGTTAATTCTCAAGTAGTTGGAAACCAAGCATGTGTTCTTTGTTCAAAGTTTACCAACCTTGAGGTTCTGGGTTGAGTACAACCTGCATCATTAAAAGAATATTATTTGGTGTCTATTTTCTCCTTTAATTTTGTGAGGAGGCACTTCTAACAGCAAGGCCTCTTTGAATGTTTTCCTTGTCACATTAGGATTTACTGTGCCAGTAGAGTTGCAAAATAATTTTGTTTTTACAACCAGTTCGTTCGTAAAATGCTATTTAAGATGATCATTGATATTGGAGGGGAAGTGCAGAAGAACCATTTATTTACAAATATAGAGAACTAGGCCAGATGGATGCTTTGTTGTGTTTTTTTTTTAATTCTATACTTATTCATAGAGTACCACCAGTAACAAATATATTAATTATAGCTTAGAAATTCTTTTTGTTCTCAGTGGAAGGGCTTGGTATATTTTGTTTGGATAGGAAAAGAACTTGGTAATTTAACTGGGAAACTAAATTTAGTTTTTAAAGCTTTATTTTTTGAGATTTAAAAATTCTTAACCTTTCAACACTGACATTATGGGTAAGAGAAAAAAGGCATAGGAATGTTTTTTAGAGTAGTTTGGAGGAGACACATTTCTATGTGCCCTAAATCAACTTCCCAACCTACTTAGAAACACATGGCAGGGCCAGCTCCAGTGGCCTAGTGGTTAAGTTTGGTGTGCTCTGCTTTGGCGGCCCAGCTTCAGTTCCCGGCGTGGACCTACACCACTTCTCTGTCAGTGGCCATGTTGTGGCAGTGGCTCACATACAAAAAGAGGAAGACTGGCAACAGATGATAGCTCAGGGTGAATTTTCCTCAGCAAAAAAAAGAGAAAATGAAAAAGAAAGAAACACGTGGCAGTCTTTTGAGTGAGACCCCAAACTAAAACTGTGACCTTGTTTTGGCTTACTTTCCCTTCTACCATAGAATTAAGGTCAACACTACCAAAATCATTTCTTAAACTCTTCATGTTTGACTGCCTTGGTGTGATAAGTAAGAATTTCTATGCTAGGGATAGGTTTTAAGGCCTCTGCCCAAACTCTTGCCAAAACAGAAAGGAACACACTCACCTGGCTTCTAAGAGTTTCCCCCTTGGCTTGCATATCCTATGGCTAAGCATGGTCCCACCATCCCTGTTCTCCATCTATAGACTATAGGACCAGAGGGCAGTTAGGAAAGAAACAGAGAAACCTGAAGAAGATCCCTGAGCAAGACTGAAAGGAAATAATGGAAAAGAGCATGCTCCTTCACTTCAGACATTGGGGCAGGCAGATGAAACAAAAGGTTTTTGGTGGGAGAGAAAAAGGAAAAGAAAATATGGAATATGGTTATATTTTTAGCCAAGAATTAAGGGTTCGGGAAGGAGAAGGTGTCAAAATGTTGGCCCCTCTCACTCAACTGTAATTTCTCATACTGTACTTATTCACTCTTTCAAAAAGTTACCCAAGTTCATTGTCACCAATAGTAAATAAGGTGGGGCCACTTGGGAAGGCTTGTATCCCTTAACTGCATGACTTCCAGAGCCCACCACCTCAGAGTAGGCCAAGCAGGAGCTAAGTTGGGGCCAACAGCTGCTGCACTCGGACTAGCATCCAGGTCTTAAGAGTCACATTCTCTGTCTTTCCAGATGATTTCTGAAGTTTATCTCAGTCTTTCAACATCCATAGATTCATATTTGCAATGCCTTTTGATTTATGATTTGAGTCTGTCTCTTGAATTTACAGGTTCAAAATTCATACCACAAAGATAGGCAGTTAACAGTAATACCACTCTGAGGCTCATCCTCAGAACTATTCTTAATTGTTTATTCTTTTTTTTTTTTAATAATTTTATTTATTTTTTTTTCCCCAAAGCCCCAGTAGATAGCTGTATGTCATAGTGGCACATCCTTCTAGTTGCTGTATGTGGGACACGGCCTCAGCATGGCCAGAGAAGCGGTGCGTCGGTGCGTGCCCGGGATCCGAACCCGGGCCGCCAGCAGCGGAGCGCACACACTTAACCGCTAAGCCACGGGGCCGGCCCTTAATTGTTTATTCTAAGTAGTTAACGCAACTTGAAAATGCCTGTGGTTTGTGAATTCACTGTTGTTAAATGTACGACTTTATTTTATGGAGAAAATAGATTGTCTATGAAAACCTCATTTTTTTTTTTTTACATTTACTAAAAATGAAAAGAATATCAATGGTACATCTTTAGTAGTAATGTATTCATTAAAAAATTAATTTTGATTTTCCATCTCTTGCTCTTTAGGAACTTTTTAGGACTTCTTTCCCTCTCAGTTTCAGCAAGGTCCTTGTAAAGTCATTTTTCTTTGTTGTTTGAAGGGTCTCTTTAACGTTGCTTTCTAAAGCAAGATTTGAAAGGCTGTTCCTTTGCATATTTGTACTTAGCACTTTAATGTCACTAAAGTACTTGAGTTTTCTCAGAGGAAGGATATCATCTGAAATACATATTTCCTATAAAAAGAATAAATCGCTGACATTGATTTTTTTTTTATTTTTTAGATAATGGTTTTTATAGACTCATGTTCAGGGAAGCCCAGTAGATGACTGTTTTGTTATTTGGCCCTAAAAGCCTTGAGTTTTAAAAAGAACCAATAGAACCTGTAATATTTATGCATAGCACATTATCAGAGATGGCTGGCTGGAACTGGCAATCATATTAAGTATTTTAGGCCGTTGATCAGATAAATGCCATTACAGACAGTCCTCAGCTTACAGTGATCTGATACCACTGTCACTGACCTCTGCAGTTTTGGGCTCACAGTGCCCACCTGTGTCATCACCTACAGCTTGTCCAAGCAGGCAAGTCACAAGTTAACTTCTGTGACTCAACCTACTGCTTGGGGGGGCCTTTGATAAGGCCTCCTGCCTCCCAGCCTGGCTCTCCAACTGATCCTCTTTTCTCTCTCCCCACACCTCGTAGTCTTTTAACTCCTAAATGGCAAGCGTTTTTGTTTTTGTTCCTAAAAAAGGGATGGGGAGGAGGCAGGAGAGAAGTGTCCCAAGTGAAACCCAGAGGACAACATAGAAGAGATATTAGACAGCAAACTTTTTCTATGAAGGGCCAAATAGTAAGTATTTTAGACTTGATGGTCTGTTGCAACTACTCACTTCTGCCATGGTAGCCCCAAAGCAGCCATACACAATATGTAGATGAATGGGCTTGGCTGTGTTCCAATTAAATTTTGTTTACAAAAATAGGCAGTGGGCCTTTGGCCTACTGGCCGTAGCTTGCTGATCTATGCAAACTACAAAGGAATATGTCCCTAGGAAACTGGCTGTGAGAGATATTCTGGAAGAGATGTCCTTAAAATATTTTGAGCAGTAGAGCATTATTTAGTAAATGCATAGTTTCTCAGAGGAACTGAGGACAACACTCATTTTGATGTTAAAAGTTGGTACCAAATATGTTTTAAGTCTCGCATGTTCATTTCTTAAAAATTGTTGGTGAATGAAAAGAATGAAAAATGCAGTGGTAGATTATCAGCCTCTGTTATAAAGCAAAACCCAACACTAATGATGAAGCCAAGAGGCGCCGTAGGTGATCATTTTACAGATGACTTAACAGGGGAATGGAGCTATGAAGCAAGTGAGTTCAAGGAGGCCTGATTTCCAGTCCACTGCACGCTGTGTCACACTGCCTGGCCCTCAAGTCAATTCAGGGCTTAAGTTAGAGTTTTAGACTTGTGTATTTGGCAGTCATCTGCATAGAAATAAATTTTGATGATTAATTGTGATTTTTTTCCTATAGGAATTGGATAAACCTATAATAGAAATTCAAATACCAGTTGAATTCACTTAGCCTTTTTACCCTTATATGTAAACTATCATTGATATGTCCCACCATAATATAACAAATGACTCTTATAATCTCTGACAGGTTGTTCCTGCCGAAGGGTTGGTCTCTATATTAAAGAAGAGGAGTGATACCGTAGGAGACCATCCTGCCCAGATGCACCAGAAACCATCTAAGCGAAGAGTGAGATTCCAGGAGATAGACGATAACTTAGATCAAGGTGAACTGCTCAGCACTGAGTCCAGCACAGAGCTGATTCTCAGTGCTTGCTGAATGAATTAACGTAGGATAGGACGTTTGGTGACGGGATTTGTAAAAGAATATGTGAACTTAGTTGCTTTATCTTCTATAAAGAAATGTGTAGAATCAAACTATCATCAGCTCTTAAATTATTCCTAAGCATTTTGTTTGCTTAAATAAGTGAGCAAGTTGCAAAATTCAACTCATGGCCTCCCTGTCCCACAGATAGTCCTCAATGTTCATAGAGCTCATTTCAATTTCCTTGTTTAGTACTTTTTTTTTTAAGTAAGCCTGCTATTTTTATCTTCTTTTCAGTGGTAATTAATACTCCTCCTTTATAGGTGTGGAAAATATTTATGGATTACAAGTATATTTTCTTTGGTGTTCAGTGATTTCTTCTTGACTCTATAGAAGATAGTGTCTCTCAAGAGCAGCAGTTTAACACTGTTGCTATTGTTTGACTTTTTCCTCCTGGGTCTGTATTTAAGGTGGTTGCTAGGTTTACCTAAGGCCTAGGTAAATAAGGGTGAGTGGAAATATGGCCCAGAACTTGTCAGTATGCTTCTCAAGTTTATAAAACAACTGCATTGTTAAAATAACAGTGTAAACCTGTCAATTCACTTTCTAAGTAGGACATAAAGTGATGGCCGTAGAGGCTTCTAAATGTTTACCGTTATAAAGCTGGTAGGAGGCTTGCAAATAATCTGTTCTCAGTCCACATTTTGCCTCTGCACCTTGCTTGTAACCATCACAGCCTTCTCCAGATAAAGTGCTCAGTTCTTTGTTTGCACTAATTGGCACTGAATCTTTGCTTAGTAGGAGGAGCCCTGGATTTAGAACTGACAGTCCTGTCTCACTCAGTAGCCATCTCATCTTAAACAAAGTCACTTAACTTGTGCTCAGTAGCCACATGTGTCTCACAGCTTCCACATTGGACATTCAACATATGTGGATAAAACAAACAAAATAGATGTCTGTAAGTAAACTATATTTAAATGTTTGCGTATAAATATGTGATTATGAAGAAAAATATGGAAAGATACATAAACTAGATTATTAAGATAGATAAGGAGGTGGGAGGGAATCATACCAAAAAAAGAAAAGATGGTGAAAATACTGAATTGACACCTCCCCCAAAAAAACCCAAAAAACACAACATGAATGATATGATCATATTTATTCATTTGTATAAAAAATATATTGGCATACAGTTATAAACTATTGAATCTATTAACCATTAAAATCTATTAAACTATAAATTTGTAAATCACAGAACAATATGATTACATAATCTTATTTATATAAAAATCCTGAAACCATATGTGTGCGATCTGGAAGGATACACACCAGATTTAACAGTGTTTGCCTCTGGGGTGGAGTGGAGTATGATTGGGTAGGATAAAAAGGGAGAGTCCCTTAAACTCTTAGATACTTTTGTGTTTGAATTTTTACAGGAAGACTATATTCACATATTACTATAAAATCTTCCAAATAAAATCTATTTCGTTTATATTATAAAACTTGTTTTTTTATTGTAAAAGTAATATATACTAATAATGAAAAAACTCAGATAGTAATGAAGTAAAAAAGTATAAGTCCTTCAACCTTCCCTTGAGGATTTTCCCCAAGTATTGATTGAAGGTTCTCATCATCCTTTCAAGACACATTCTGTATGTATGAATACGTATGTGTGTGTATACACACTGACACATACACGTGTGGTATGTCTTTTTTTTTTTTTAACACAAATGGGTTCATTATCTATTGTTCTGTCACTCCTTTTTAATTTAACCATCAATCTTTCTATGAGAGAACATATTAAATTTACTTCATTCTGTTAAACAATTGCATAGTATTCCATTATGTGAATGTCCTATAACTATTTAACTATTCCATTGTAACTGGAATAACCAAAGTATTCTCAACTTTTTGTTGTAACAAACCTTGCTGCAGTGAACATGCTTGTATATATGATATTTTGTGTGGTGCAGATCTGTAGGCTAATTCCTAAAAGTGGGTTTGCTGGGCTGAATGACAGGGACCAGTGGCCTGAGGCCATCCTGGTTTACACCTGTTGTGCAGCATTGCATTCGGGTAACGTTCTCTTCACTCTCAAAAGTGTACCAGTCTGGAGGGTAAATTAATTTAAAATTTTAATAGATACTGCCAGATTTTTTTCTAAGAAGGTTTTGTTACACACTCATCATGCTGATCATAAAACTTTTTAGTCTTTTCCAAATATTTATTATTATTTTTTAAATTATGAATGATCATTAAGACTTTCAACAGAGAATGGTTATTTTCTTCAATGTAGAAAGACCCATGTGGACATTTTTATTAAAAACAAACCTGCCAGAGGTATTAAGCAAAATAAAAAGAAACCACTGTACCAGCTAGAACTTTACTCTTCCACTAAATGATGCGAATAAAATTGAGTATTAAGATGCAAGAGTGATCCCACCCAAAGACGTTTTTTGTTGTTTAATATCAAATTGACTTTGCTTTAAGGTGGACATATGATGTGAACTCCAAATATATTGCAATAGCAAGGTTGTAAGTTGTACCCTAAAATAACGTTATGAGCACATCCGAGAAGTAGTGCCCTTTTCTTCTTCTTTTTTAATTTTTTTTTGGTGAGGAAGATCAGCCCTGAGCTAACATCCATGCCAATCCTCCTCTTTTTGCTGAGGAAGACTGGATCTGAGCTAACATTCATGCTCATCTTCCTCTACTTTATGTGGGACACCGCCACAGCATGGCCTGACAAGCAGTGCGTCGGTGTGCGCCCGGGATCCGAACCCGGCTCGCCAGTAGCGGAGCGCGCGCTTAACCGCTACGCCATGGGGCCAGCCCCCTTTTTTTATGGAAATGATTCTATTCGTTGTATGAGTGAGCTAGTTTTAATTTTATCATTGACAAGCTCCACAGTATGTATCTTTGTGGTAACTAATACATAGGTCTTTGTAGAGTTGTTAGGTGCACTAGCTTTCTGTCAATGACTCCTCTCCCTAGAAGACTAATGTTAGAAACATCTAGTTATCGTATCAATGAGAAGGCAGCAGATGCCAGGGTCTCCATATTGTGTCAATTTAACCTTACTCTGTTCTCGTATTTGCAGATGAAGTTGGAGGTGGTTCCTGTATTTTACTGGTCTTGCTGTGCATAGCAACGGTTTTCCTTAGTGTTGGAGGAACTGCATTATACTGCACTTTTGGTGACATGGAGTCACCTGTTTGTACGGACTTTGCAGACAACGTGGACTTCTATTACACTAAATTACTGCAGGGAATGGCAGAACTGAAACACTGGATCTACCTCTCCTAGCAGCGTTCAAGAGGGACAGGCATGCCGGCTGTGAGAATCAAAGAGTGCAACTTTCTAAACGGCTTTTGTTTTAGGAGTTCTGTAACATACGTCCCCTCCCCCAGTGAGGAACCATGGGCATCAGAAACAGCTGCTTTAAGTGGCAATCCAGAGGAGCTCTTAGGATAATCCACATAATGAGGCAAATATCCATCCGAGCATTGTGGACGGAAGGAGTGGTCTTTGGAGAGCATGTCCATCTCCTCCTTGCTGCTTCCGAGTGTAATGAGCTGCACTTAGCAGAATGAAACAGGGCAGTGGTGGAGCCACGCCATTTCTAGCGTCCCTGTCAAGCTAATGGTTAAAGGACACTTTTCGTTTACATTTGTTGGTCCAAAGACATTGCTTCCAGCCATCATGCAATAAGTTTGTGTGTAATCAAAAGGAGTTACCTTATGGTTTCAGTGTCTTTTTTCAGTTAACCTTGGGAGCTATGTAATTTAGGCTTTGTACATTATTTCCAGATTCTGTTCTCCATTTGTGAGATGGGTGTGTGTGTGTGCACGTAGGCACGCGTGTGCACGCGTGCTTCAGACAGTTATCATAAGCAAAGACCCAACATAGAATAACAAAGATTATCTTTATTCTTTTAACTTGTCTATAGATGTGCAGGCACAAATCTTTGAAGAAGGCTTAACTGTGGAACAGATGAACTGTAGAAATCTTGGCCCTGAAATGAGAAGCTGTGACAGATCTGTGACAGTTAACATGATTATCTAGCCAGAAATTAATCACAGGCCTAGCGGTAAAATTTAAGAGCTCCCTCTGAGTCTTAGGCGACCAGTTTCATCATGGATTCAGCACTTGCTGAAGTATGATGAATGCTGGACTCAAGTCAGCAAACTTTTATTGAGCATCTATTATGTTCTGAGAATCTAAGAAGCAGAATACAAAGCTAAGATATTAGTTCCTGCTCTAGATGTTTTCTTTCTGGTCTTATGTAAAATAAACTGATACTTTGGCAAATGAAATTAAATCATATATAATTCAGTATTAACAGGTTATGCATTCAGATGTTTGAATGTGCATTCATATCATGGGCTTGATTTAGACCTATTATGGGGTCATTAAGCGAAAATTCAATCATATCTTAAATAGGCAGATGTCTGTTTTTGTTTAGATCTGTCAGCTAGATGGCATTTCCTTTTCTAAAGTGCAGTGGTCTAACATATAGGAAGCCTTGCTTTGGCTTTTTATATCAAAGGCAGCATTTTAAAAGAAACAAAACATGAATTATAGTTTTTTAGCAAGTGATCATTATTTCATGTTTTTCTGTTAGGATCATTTGAAAGAAAAAGGCAGAAATTACTTTCTAGTTGTTACTGGCTGGTACAGTACCTCCCTTTGTGTTTCTGCTTATTTATTTAGATTATATGAATTTTAAAGGGCTTTTTATATAAGTTGAAAGTGTGTTGTTGAGCATGCATTTGGTTATGCCAATGCTAGATATTTAATTACTATGTACTTATTAGTGTTTTGATTTTCTATAATTTTAATTCAATGTGTTTTAGGCTTGTTAATTTTTAAATTGATGGTTTATTTTCACCTACAATACTGTTTGTCTTGTCTCTATCATGTCACTATAAACTGTAATATTTTCAAGGATTATAGATCAAAGATATTTATTTAGAAGTGTACAAGATACTGAAATTTAGATTCCTTATACTTAAGGCTGATTTTATTAGAAGATTATTTTAATGTTCTATTACAAATTTTAAGAATTTGTATTCAAATTGTATGTAAAATATGTAAAATGTTGACGGTACTATCTTATGTGGTTCTATAAAAGACATTCACAAGGTCTGCTGTGAGGGGCATCCCCATCATGGACAGACCTCTTCTACTTTACCCTCATGATTTCTAGTTACAGGAATTTGATGATGCTGATTTCTGCTAGTTTTATGTCAAGATAAGTCAAAATTTCCCTCCCTCCTGTTCGCCTCTTTCAGGTCACTATCAAAGTCCTAAATAATCTATAGTGTCATATTTGACTATGAGTCACCAGGGCCACTACTTCTGACACCGAAGATTTCCTGGGAACCTTCCCACTGAGATGAAAGGACTGAGATAATACCTTGGTACTCCAGGGCCCAGTTGAGTCTCAGAAAAATCACGTGTGCTTACCACTTCCCAGGGAGAGTGAGGTGAGCTCAGGAGCATATTGATGTCTTGACTTAAAATAGGCCTGAAATCTCAACTAGAAAAAATAGAGCAACTTTAAAATAGTCATTTATTGCATGAATTGGAGTAATTCCATCTGGTGATGAAAGAATTGTTATCTCACACGTAAAAAATTCATCCAGTTTTACTATAATGTAATTTTTTCTGTCATTTGAAAGTACTGGCAACTATTTGTAACTAATCTTCCTTAAGAACTGTATTTGAGGGTAACATCAAGCTTGTAATTTAAAATCTACACCAACAAAGTGTCTCAGAGAGTTTATTTGAACCCTGGAGTGCTGAGAAAAACTGCTTTAAAGTGAAAGCAAAATACTTTCAGCAGTTGGTCTGGTTCCACAAGTAGGTGGCCATCTATTTTGGGGAGTCTGATAGGTCCCTATGTAAAGGTGTCCCTGCTTCTAAAACACCTCCCCTATCTGCCTGACACAGTAACTGAAATTTGCCCTAAAAATTCATTCCTTTAGATTTAAAAATAAAAATCCTCTGAGAGGTTTACTTGATTGAGCTATGAATTTGTGTATTATGCTGAGAGGACTTGAAATTTGAAGGAGGGGTTTATTTTGAAAGGACAGATATGAATTGGGTCTTGTTGGAGTGGCAGGAAGATATGGGATGGGAGTGGCAGGGGGATATGGGGTGGGAGTGGCAGGGGGTTATGGGTGGGAGTGGCAGGGGG